ACATGGAATATCTCGAGATCCTGACCAGATAGAAAGTTACTGTCTTTACCAAAGTAGTTCTAGAGATCATAACCTTTTTGCTGGTGGACAGTAGTTCAAAATTTACTCACTACATAGCGCTAGTATACATGTGAAGTTCTCGCATGTGATATATCTCGAAATCCTGACCAGATAGAAAGTTACTGTCTTCGAAAAAGTTGTTCAGGAGTTCAAAGCCTATAGTTCAGACTCTTTTCACTATATGGTGCTAGTATATACGTGAAATCCTCATATAAAATATCTCGAAATCCTGATCATATAAAAAGTTACTGTCTTCGGCAAAGTTGTTCAGGAAGTCAAGGCCTTTTTGCTGGTGGACTTAAGTTCAGAGTTTTCTCACTTTACAACGCTAGTATACATGAAGAATTCTCGCATATAAAATATCTCTAGATCCTGACCAGACAGAAAGTTACTGTCTTCGGCAAAGTTGTTCAGGATGTTAGGATCTTTTCGTTGGTGTACAGTAATTCATAATTTTCCCTTTACGTGGCACTAGTATGCGGGTCATTCAGAGATATTTTATATGCAAGGATTTCACGTGTCTTTCAACGTCACCTAGTGAGAATATTATGTACTTTCCACCAACGATAGGGTTTGATCTCCTGGACAACTTTGCCGATTACAGTACATTTTTAGCAGGTCTTGAGATATATCATATGCGAGAATTGCACGTATATACTAGTACCATGAAGTGAAATATTCTGAACTACCGTCCACTAGCCAAAAGGCCTTGATCCCCTGAACAACTTTGCCCAAGACAGTAACATTCTATCTTGTCATGCTCTCTAGATATTTTATATGAGAGAATTTATCGTGTATACTAGAACTACATAGTGAGAAAATTCTGAACTATTCTACACCAAGCAATAGGCTTTGACCTCCTGAACAACTTTTTCAAAGACAGTAACTTTCTATTTGGTCAGGATCTCGAGATATATCATATGCGAGAAGTGTATATGTATACAAACGCCACGTGGTGAGAAAATTCTGAACTACTGTCTACCAGTCGAAAAGTCTTGACCCCCTGAACAAGTTTGCCCAGTACAGTAACTTTCTAGCTGGTCAAGAACTCGAGCTATTGTATATGCGAGAATTACACGTATATACTAGCGCCTCGTAGTGTGAAATTTCTGAACTACTCCACCAACGAAAAGAGCTTGACTTCCTGAACAACTTTGCTGAAGGCATTTACTTTCTATCTGGTAGCACCACGAAGTGAGATAATTCTGAACTATTGTACACTAAGAAATAGGCTTTGACCTCCTGAACAACAAACATTGCGTAGTACTAGAATTTCGACTAGAATAGGGTACGTTAATCGTTTGCTTGGGACCAATAGGCTACTAAAGTGGTGAGCCAATTTAAAATCGTTAGTTTCGTATTGATTGTTGGTACAACAGCGCGAGTAACGGGGGGTTAACTTTTATGCATACCGTAAAACGGGGTGTAATTGATCAGCGGGGCAAAATTGATCGCTGAAATTTCTCGTGATATTTTTTCATGTGTAACATGTTTTTCGTTACTAAGCGTACGAATGTATCTTTGTATACATTGTAAAAATATTATGCATAAGTACAATAATGGGTATACTCAGCGATCAAATTCACCCCGCTGATCAATTTCACCCCATTTTACGGCACCTTCTTTGAAAATTTTCCCACCTAGACGGACCTAACAAATGCGAGATAGGAAGAAGTGACCGTCGTAATTAATTTTAGGCTCATAGGTTGAAAGAACTTCAGCATGTCCAAAATATATTCGTTCCCATTCAGTGTGTCCAAAATATATTATGGACACTGTCCAAAATCAAGTGGAAGGGTCCAAAATATGTGAATATCATGATGTGAAAAGAATTATTTTTCGAGTATATATCAATAAATAAAACATCTAGTGACATTTTACATCCAAGATGAGTAGCTTTCGAACACAACCGCATGTAAATTGCATAATAATAATAAACAAATAATATTATTTTGACATAAACGTGATCTCACTTCCTCTAGGGGTCCAAAATCAGTTGGTTACCCTATGTCAAGACTATGTTTCTTCATCCTTCCCCGTGACATCCGGCGTTCCCCAAGGTAGTCATCTTGGGCTATTTCTGTTTCTGTTGTACATGAATGACGTCAATACCATCCTGAAATGCCTTCAACTATCGTATGCGGACGACTTGAAACTCTACTTCGTGATAAAAGAATCTAGTGATGCAATTTTCTTGCAGCAACAATTGGAAGTCTTCGCTGAGTGGTGTCGTATTAAACGCATGTCGCTGAATGTCTCGAAATGCTCTGTAATTTCCTTTGGCCGCAAGCGTTCGCTTCTTCACCATGACTACACCCTGACTGGCAAAACTTTGAAACGTGAATCGACTATCAAGGATCTGTCGACGTTGTTGGACGTTGAAATGATGGCCTGGTGTTCAAATTGCAGCAGTATGGTCATCCAATCTTCTTAGTGAAGATAATTAACAACTATCTATCGAACAGGACGTTCCGAGTCTCTCTGAATAGCATCACATCGGATGCTTTCAACATCGGTACCGGGGTTCCACAAGGAAGCATCCTTGGCCCCATTCTATTCAACCTGTTCACCTCCGATGGTGGATCGTTGTCTCTGTTCGCAGGTGACACATCCATCGTCTACAAGGGTAGAGTCATCGGAGCTCTGACTGCCAAACTTCAGAGAGGCCTGGACGTCCTGTCTGAATATTTCAACAGCTGGAAGATCCGTATCAACGTGGCAAAGACCCAGGTCATCATCTTTCCATACTCAAAATCTCCCAGACTTGTTCCGTCGGTGAATATTAAATGATCTGTCTGAACGGCACAGTGGTGGAATGGTCGAAAGAGGTAGTCTACCTCGGCTTAACACTAGACAGCAAGCTGATTTTCAGGGAGCACGTTGACAAAACCAAAACCAAGTGTAACATCTTGATAAGATCACTGTATCCACTCATCAACAAGAGGTCTACTCTATCCCTAAAAAATAAGCTTGCTGTCTACAAACAAATCATCCTTCTCGTAATAGAATACGGGATGCCAATTTGGGAGAGTAGCGCCAAATGCCATCACCTTAAACTCTAAATGATCCAGAACAAGATCCTTAGGATGGTCCTAAACAGTCCCCGCGGACTAGAAATTCTGAGATCCACCTCCTGGCTGGAATTCAGACATTAGAAGAACGGAGAATATTTATCCTGGAAAGGTATCTCAGACAGGTGTCTCATCATCAGATCATATTATGTGATCTAGCACGTTAGGTTAATTTATACTCGTAGTTAGGTAGGTTTTCACTTTTTTTAATTCAATCAAAACACACCCCAAAGGGGTATTCTGTTAACTAGTTGAAAAACGCAAATATTAAATAAGAATATGAAATTAAACAAAGATGAAAATAAGGTAGGATAATCAATTAAAATGCTAAATCAATGTACTACCATAATAAACAGAAATAAACACAATTTTACTACTACCGGATGAAATTCAACTTTGAAAGTGTTGGAGGCGAACCAGCCCAAGGCTGAAAGCCTCCCTAATAAAGTTAAATTAATTAATTAACTTTGAAATCTGTGTTAGGGAAATCGCTTTTCGCAGGCAATCAGTGATAATTTTAACTATCAAAGCAACAGTTGCACATTCGTGCAATTTTCAATAGTGTCATTAAAAAAATGATAAAGTCTTGAATTTAACATTTGTGTAGAAATATATCTGATCGATTGGTGATAAAATTATTGAAATTAGTCCAGGGGCAGCTGAGTTATTAACGTTCAAAATCTTTCATAATGTTGTTACATGTTCCATTTTCGGTTTTCACAAAGTGTACCCCCATATAGAAATCATAGACGTAGTCCTACGTCAAAAATAGTTTCATTAACATATCCTTATCCTAAGAACATTACTAAATTCCGTCAATAATGATGAAATTCCCTGAGACTTCCAGATATTTTCAGGAAAAATTAAATTCCCTGAGGATTTGCGGTTTTCTGGATTTGCCAGTTTGTAGACACCATGGCTAAAATCATCTAATAATGTGGGTTTGGTGATAAATTTTCTCTTGAATCTTGCCTTTAAAGCTTCGTATCGTGCATAATTGTTTATGATATACTAATTGAATAAGTCTAATGTGCGACTTACCTTTTGAAGAGCCGGTCCGAAAGTGAGTGGAGAGTTGCCCGTGTATGTTTATGAAGCGTTGCCATAGAGACCTCCGTTCACCGGCATTGAACTGTTGCGCTTAAAACGCGGGCAGCACACACGGCTTGCTGACTCGTTAAGCGTCAAGTTAAGACCTGCTTACACTAGCGCTAATATATGCCACACATCTAGAACATCAAACATTTATTTCGTGTGCCATCAGAACAACTACTTTTCGTCTCTTAGGTCACTTTGTTACAACTATAAGTCACTATTTGGTCACTTATATCTTCAACATGGTCACTAAAATCACTATTTTGACAGCATTGATCGCTACCAGCCCTGTCGATGTCATCAGAAGCCGAATATCAACAGAAATTCTAGTACGGAAAGTGCAAGTGAGTCAAGCGGAAAGGTAGGAAAGGAAACCTTCTAGCATATGCACTAGATTGAAGTACGGCAGGGCATTTGATCGAGGCGGAGGCATACCCAGGGTCAGGAACCCAACAGGTTAACCGGTGATTACTTACCGTTCTTCACTTATTTTTCAAGCTAGGACCACTGTGATACCTTTCCATAGCAACGAAACACCAATGATGTTTAAATTTTCAATTTTCATTTATTTTCATTTTTTTAGTCATTTTCTTTGCTTTTCTTTTCTCATATTTACATGTATATAATAAATTTAATAAATTATTCTTATTTTCAAATATAATAACTCTAAACAATTTAGTTTTTTTTTTATTTACTTGCCATTTTGCTCACATTTTTTCTTAATAATTCGTAAAATGAACTACATTCATGTATTTCTTCTTACATTTTCCTCGTTTGTTTTTATTTTGTTTTGTTTTACCAATCATCATCATCAAGTTAAAATGTACAGCTTTGATATAATATGTACTTTTTGTTCACCACCGCCGACACCGCCGCCGGAGGGTGGAGGAGGGGTCCAAGAATGGCTTACTAATTGTTTTTTTGTTTGTCTTGTTTGCCCTTAATTGTTTTTTTTTTCTTTTGTCACTTCCAATATATTAGATAGATATATATAATCTCTTAAAGTACAATTTTGTTCTGTTTTTCTGCTCGAATAACATCAAGGTTCTTCTTTTTTTGCTTGCTAGAAAATCCAAATCTGCGTCCAGTATAGCTGAATCGGTTTTGGTTATTTACACAATCAGTTGATTTTTAAGTTTAGAAGTGTTTTTTTTTCTCAAATGATAGAAGAAGATTGATACAATTAGCAAATTAGATCATATTTAAAGAAATAAAAAATACCCTTGTAAACAATTTGATTTAAAGATTGACAAAGGACTAGATTTGGTTGAATTAACTCGCTCTACTGCCTTTTTTTTGGGCTTGTAGGAAAGATAGCTGCTGTCCCTCCAAGAAATTTTGCTTTTAGGAAAATCAGGATTTTTTATGCTGCCAAATTAGAGAACGGGATTTTTTTTCTACTGTCGAGTATGTACAGGATTTAGCTGCTGTAGAAAATGTTGCTACTGAATTGACTTTTCCTGGTCTCATTTCAAGTGACGGGAAAATACCGCGAAAGCACACCGTGAAACACTGAAACAAAAGACCCTCATCGTCTGATTGGCGATTGGCAAGACAAATCGTCCAGTTTCGAATTCTTCAACGAAATAACTGTATAGGATAGTGTATGGAATGTATTCGAAGATTTCTGCCTACCGTGATCAGGAGCAGGAGTGTGGGAAAAAGGTCTCTTGTCAAACAAACAAAAAACTAGTACTGAGATTGAGTTGAGTTGAGATAGAACCGTTTGCCGCTAGGTCAGATGCCTCCGGTAGTGTTTTAAGGTGTGGATATTCTTCCCTCCGCTAGAAAGTGAGAGTTTGGTTTTGTGGAGGCCGTTGAAGTGAGGTCGTTTAGTTTGGGAATTTTGTTCTCTAATGGTACATTTTTTTTTAATTCTTTATGGCACTCGTGGTCAATTCCACGTTTGTATTTCTGTTGTTGATGGGAACAAGGTGAATATGGACGAAATCACTTCGCTATTTTGAAACAGAAATTCGAAATTATCTTTAACTTCAAAGGGATGAACTTTTCAAGGATTGCTCAGAAGGAGCGAATAAAAGATTCACCCATAGGAGTTGGTACAAGTTGAGTTACGGATTCGGTTCATTTTCACCTTAGGCAAAAAAAATTACATCGCTCCAACAGATCCACTTTTAAATTTGCAATACAATGTTGTTTGTTGTTGTTGTTGTTGTTGTTGTTGTACAATTCCTTGTTTCTGTTTTTGCATTCATTTGTTCGCTGCTACTACGTCACGTTTATTACAACTACCATTATCATATGTACTGCGTGTTTTGTAAACCTAATTTGTTCATCCACTTTTAGTTGTGTCCGTTCTTCACTTTGTCGTATGTATGTGTGTGTGTTTGTTTGTTTGTTTGTTGCTCTAATCCTAATAAGGAACCAATAGTGACAGAAGCAGTTTCGTTTTGCAACATTTGTAGCGTTTTGCATTTGTTTGTTTGTTTGTTTGTCATTTGTACGCTTGTGATTTGAACTGGTATATTCCTCCAGAGCTGGAATCGGGATTTTTGCATTGTTCTGGACAGAGAGGGAAACCAGAGAAGGGCACGAGTTAACTCATCGGTTTTTCACCGGTGGAACATAAGAACACAAAATTGAACTAAAGGAGAAAAGCTATTCGTTTTGTTTCTTGGATATTAACCTTGGTTGCCCTTTAATACACTAACGTAACGAAAACTAATGAGTATAACACAGCCTTCACAACCTGAGAATGGACGTGGCGCGACACTTACAAACTTGATTCTAGTGGAGGAGGTTTGGATTTGTGGGTGGTGGTTGGTGTGGTGGGATCAGGTTTTGAGCGAGAGAGCGCGCCTTGCCAAACTTTCTCCCATTCCGGACGGGATGGGGGAGAAAATTTGGCAACCCTACTGCTGCGGTGGGGGCTTAATACTAACTCCCGACCATTATGTGGGTCGTAAAGGAATCCATATCGTTATCACAGACCACTTTGCTCGGTTCCAGCATGGGAGATTTCAGACCCAGCATGTCGACATCCGAGTTGAACGAGGTTATCTTGTAACAGTTGGGAAACATTTCGTCCATGTCCATGTCCAGATAGGCTAGATCCCAGTTGGAACCGTTGGTACTGGAGTGGTACTGCAGGGCCGACGCACAGGACGAGAGCAGTGGGGATGGGGAGGTGGTTAGAGTAGTAAGATTAAGATCACAATGGCTGCTCGTTGTCAGGGTGGTCAGGGAGGTTAGGGTGGTTGTACTGGAGGAATTAGCACCCGAGGAGCTGCTGGCAGGGTTGGTACTGTCTGTCGTATGATTGTTGTCGCTGCTGCTATCACTATTGCTAACACTGCTTACGGTGCTACCGTCGCTGCCTGCCAGGCAGGACGAGGACGACCCGGATTGACTTAATGCTAAACTAGTGCTACTATCACAATTATCGTTACTCGCTAGTACCGTCACGTTGGCTGTGTGATGGCTATCGTTGACAACGCTAACCGCGACGCTCGGCGACGTTACGAAGAGGTCGTTGTTGTTTAGTGGATCGAGCGCCGATTGCGAGGATAGGCTCAGCACCGAACCCCAGTTGATTGGGCGCGTACAGTCGTCGTCACCGAAGCCGGAATCACCGTCGTGATAACCATTGGTAAGGGAACTGCTGCCGCTGCCGGCGACACTGGACGGGAATGGTGTCGCCCGGCCTGATTGTGGATCTTTCAGCGGATGATTGTGATGAGGACTGATGGACGCCGGGCCCGTCGTCGTCGATGCGGTCGTCATGGGGCTGAGGTGATGTTGCTGCTGCTGCTGCTGCTGCGGTGGCGGTTGCTGATCGTAGGGCGATAATTGCGTAGTAATCGTCGTAGGTTGCTGCTCGGTTGCACTTGGACCGTAGCCAGGAGACGACTGAGTCGTTGTATTGCTGCCTTGAAGTCTACTGTAGTTACTGCTGCCACTATTGCTAATATCACTAAACTTAGGAGCTTGCTGCTTGTCGGATGCACCTATCCGGCCGTTGTACAGGGGGCCATACTCGTTCTGACCTTGCTGCGGGGGAGTTTGTGGTGGTGGCGGCGGCGGCGGATGTGGATGATGCAGGTGATGCGGAGGAGGAGGAGGTGCATGATAGAGATGCGGATGTTGCTGCTGCTGCAGGTGCTGCTGATGGCTAAACTCCTTGTTCTCGTTGTCAATTTCTCGTTCAATCGATTTGAGTGTATTGCAGATCAGTACCGATCGGTACAGCGATTGATCCGAAGCCTGACGGAATCGGGCCAGTTTGAACATTGACAGGTTCATCATCTTCAGGCGCCGTTCCTTGTAGCATTGTTTGTTATTGCACGACATATTGCGTCCGTCGCAGCATCGCTTCAGATGCCGCCCTTGAGCACCAAACTGGTTTACGTTGCTGTAGTTTGCACTGCCCAGTTCGAAGTAGGACTTGCCATTCTCCGCGCACCGTATCGTCTGCTGCGAGGATGGTGCTTCGTACGGGGGCGAATAGTACCCATGCTGGCTCCAGCCGTATCCCCGATTGGCATACTGTTGTGCTCCGTTGTTCGCTCCATTCATTCGGGAACAGTTCTGATACGGTTCTGGGAAGTAGCCGGGCTTCGGGTATGCCGGAATGTAAGCACGGTTCGGAGAGCAAGGATACCGAATCGGTGAATAGCTGGGCAGTATCGTTTCATCATCATCAAAGTCATCCTCGAAATCATCGTCATCGTCATCGAGATCGTCCGCGGCCAACAGAGTTGTGGCCAGCGTCGACCGGGTACTGTCCGATCCCCACGTTTCCCCGGGTACGGCAACTGCCTGAAGCTTACTGATGGGATCTACGATCGGTTCACAGTTCCATCCGGTCTCGCCGGGGACAGCCACCGCTTCCAGCTTGGCTATGCTATCTTCGGCAGGTGGCGCTGGAGGCAGCAGCAACGGGCTATTGATCGGAATCGTGGTCGGAGCTCCGGCGATCAACGGGGAAGCTACTACGCTGGTTGTCGTTATACTGCTGCTGGTCGAACTACTACTAATTGGCATCGCGGTCGTTGGCGATGACTCCTTCGCTTCTCTCGTGGACTGTTCGGTCTGCTCTACTGCGATCGGTTCTTCCAATCGTGGATTCTTACACGGACTTGCTCCGTCCTCCGCCGGGGATGCCGACTGCCCGTTGGGGTATTGATTTTCTACTGCTGGGGATGATGAGCATTGCCCACTGACTTCTTCTGGGATGGTTCTGCTGCTGCTGCAGGTGGTGCTGGTGCCATTATCATCAGTCGAGGTGGCACTCGTATCCTCGTACTTGCGTTTGTTATTGCTACTAGCTGCCGCTTGGAGACCCATCATTGCAAAGTTCTGTAAGAAAGTGGATAGAGGAAAAAGGCGATTATTAGTTTGAGGAGGTCAAGCGTTGTTCTACTGCTAATGAGTGCGCGTTCATGTTCATCTACTTTGAATGTACCTGATAAGGTAAGGATTTCAGCTGAAACACAAACCAATCGCTTCCATCCACTGCTGGCTGTCGTTTACTTTTCAGCACTGCTAGGTTGGATTTTTATGCCATTCAAACTAGTACCCATGTTTGTGCTGATCTATACCTGTCTTAAGGAATTTTTGGAAGCAGAGTTGAGCAGCAGGTAAAATACAGGCGGTGTTTTTTTTTTGCATTATTGAAATTAAACATCGCAGGTGAAAAAAATGGCAGCACCACACTATTGTTCAACGCCATGACTAAATTCACGATGAAAGTTTGTTGCAGTGTAGATGGAAACGTCAGTTCGGTGACAAAGATGACGATTACACGCTTCAAAACTATCCCAAATTAGTTTACCCATTTTTGGGTAGGTTCAGTTTTGACCGGTCTGGGTGGTTCCTACTCAAATTTGAGTAGTTTTGAAATAGCATGTATAATTTTTTGATCTAGTTACTTTATAGTGCACTCAGATCAATCATAGAAATATGCTCAGTTGCCAGCTTGAAATGTAACGCCAAGCGCTGGCCACGTTCCGTCAGAAATGTGCACCAAAAAGTTAGTCATTTTACACGCAACTTTTGCAACAGTTTGCTTACTGCTCTGCTCTATCAACCTTTGTTGGTTCTCCACGTGACGTGAAGCTCTCCATCAGGCAAAAAATAACCTGCAACCGTGGACCAACCAAACAAGGCGATGCGAGCGAGAGGCAGCGAAAGCTTAAGCTTTTTTTGTTTTTCCTCCAGCCAATCTCCAATCTTCGTCGGCATTATTCGAAACTCTATCCCATCCGTCTGCGTCCGTTGATTGCACGCATTTTATTTTTACCAAATCATCGTCTTTTTTTTTGTAGAAACTGGGCGGCGCGCAAATCGCCTTTCCTCACACACACACACAAAAGGTGATGGGCAACCAAGGAGCCCCTTGTAGCCGTAAGTCATCTGCTTTTGTGTGCTCCATGGTCACAACGAAGTCGCCTACCATGACGATCTTCATTTTTCTTCGAAATCAACTTTACAGTATCCAGGCTGCAACTTTGTAGTGATGCATTCGCCACCACCACCACCGGTGGTGGAAGCAAATATTTTCCTCCCAAGAGTTTATTTTCGCTCGTTAAGAATTACACGCATTTTATGCGCCTCTCATAAAGCTTCCTGGCAGTAAAAATAGGCTTAATTTTAAAACCTCTTCTCCCGGTTCGGGTTGGAATTCCGTGTCACAACGTCGGCCTACTGTTTGACGGCAGGTCATTTCACCGATAGCACAGTTTATCGAACGCCGCGGGACCCAAAGGTGGAAAACAACAACGACCAGCCAGTCATTCCTCCGCGGAGGAAAACTCGATGCGAGCTGGAGTACAGAATAATAAAAATGAGCGGAAGATAAATCTTTTATTACTGCGACGGCAGCAGCATCTTCATCGTGTCGCCACGTTCTACACCACCGGCAGCACCAGAAAGCGCACGCGGAGGAACAAAGAACGCCTCTTCCTTCTCAAGAAATGCCACCGCCCGTCGCGTCGTTCGTAATCGGAAATATAGGCAGTAAAGTTGGTGTGCCGTTGCCCGTCTTTTATAACCTTGCTCCGCAGTTTTCCTGCGAGGGTTTGTTCGCTGGTTGGTATGCAATGCGTAGAGTGTGAGCCGATGGGAACCGAAGGTATCCTGAAGTCATGAACCTGATTTGACTGGACGACCAATGTCCAACCGGATCATGCAACTTTAAGTTCCACAATTTTTGGGACGCTCGTGGAAAGCGCTCGAGCGAGGGCACTCGAGGTGCGAAATCAGTCTATCGATTTAATTTTCGATATATTCTATATATTGCGGTGGCGGGGCACAATATGTGCAGCACTGCTCTTTGTTGTCCTGTTACATAATAGTTTATATAAATATCTCGTGGATCACCGCCGAAAAGAGAAACGCGCGCGGTTTACGGGGCTCAACCGCAGCAGCAGTGGCGGCGGCGGTGCATATAACCTCTCACGCAATGTGCGTGTGCTGCCGGTGCCATCAGGACGATGAGGTCGAGGAAAAAAAAACTCACTACCTCCGCCTAGGCACCAGGCCCGGTAGCATTTTCCGTTCCTATTTGCCTCATTCCAACCAACCCACACACGTTCGCTAGCGTTGACTTCTTCTACATCGAGCCCTGAGGTAATGTGTACATAAGATGCTTCCTTTCCTTACCAAGACTCCTTGGCACTCATCTTCTCCATCCGCGGCGGCAACCTTGTTTCTATGTACCAATCCCCCCGTCCTTCACCACGACAACGCTATCCGTCGCCTACTGTTTTCCATGAGCCATGGCAAAAGCTCGCCTACTCTGTGTGCCAGCAATTGATCAAACAAAGCACACTTCCGTTTGGAGCTACTGACTGGCGCAAATGTTGCCAAGACGCGCGCGAAAAACTTCTGTGCCTTGGAAAAGAACCAATTTTCCGGGCGCAAAACAACGCAGCATCCCTCGTTCGAAGTAATTATCGAAGAAAGAGAAAGTTGAGATATGCTTCGTGTGCCTTTTTTTTACTTCTGAGTTCCCGTACCACCCACTTTCGAAGACGAATCCTGCGCGGTGGTTGGGGTGAGGGCAAACCATTCTGCCCATGCTTGTCGAAAAGTGAGCGTACAGGAACGAAGAAGAAGGATGTTTATCACAACTTTTATGAATGAACTTTTTTTTTCGCACGCAAGAACAGATCTTGCAAAACTCCTTTCAGTGTACCGTAAATAGTATACAGTAGTTGCTCGTCTGCTCGTGATTCCAATTGGAGGAAAGGGGGTGGCACTCTCAGCATATTTTAATGCACACGACTTCTTCCGTTCCGCATATTCATCGAAGAATGCACTTGTAGCTGAGCTGAGCCAAAAGAGAAGCAAAAAGAAAGGTCAATCACTCCGCATCCTTTTTTTTTATAATGGCAGAGAGGTTGTAATTCGATTTTTCATGAATGAACACTCGTCTCAATCAAAGCAGGCCGGGCCTCCCGTCTGCCTGCGAAGCGACAGGGACGGGCAGCTGAAGGGGCAGGTGGACTTAGTTGTAAACACAAACCATATGATTTTTATGATCGTTTATCGCTGCTACTCTCTGCGGCTGCCTCCTTTTAATTTATGTATTATTGTTTGTCATTCATTCAATTCGCTTTGGCTCTCGCTCTCCCTCCCTCCTTTCAAACCGTCGTAATCGCCATCAGTTGGTGGTATTATTTTTTTCTTCTATTCTTAAACAGTAGGTACTTTTCATGACCTGTGCGTTGCCATTACCAACCAACCAACCTGTAAAAGGTCCGGCTCCTTCTTGCCACTGCTGTAGGTTACATAATTCCGCTCCCGTTTTGTTGTTTGGCAAAAGTTTTCAAGTACACCGCCGTGTGCCTCTAGTTACCCCGATTTTCTTTTTCATTATTTACGACTACATTCCTTGCGGTTTTCCGCATCCTTTTGTTTGTCTCGTAAAACATCGACAATAACAGTGAAGTGACGGTTCGCTGATGCTCCATGTGACACAATTTTTGGTTTTTGTTTTCGGGGTCTTTTCCCATTTCGTTCATCCGTTTGTATGTGTGTTGTTTGTTTGGGTGACAGACAGAATTTATTGCACTTGCACTTGTCGAGCAGCGCGTATATGACGCCCCTATCTACGCTGTCTAGCGCCAACATGTCTGTCAAGTGCGGAATGGTTAGGCTTGCTGCCGCCGCCAACGTCGCTGACCGTCGCCATTGTCGGTTTGGTCGAAATTCAGGAGCTGTTAACTCTGAGGTGCTTGGGATTCTCGTTCTGAGAAGGGCCGGATGTCTACAGTTTATACCGACTAAGTTCCTTGGCTAATAGCCCAAGTGCTAATATAAAGCTCGGAAGCTCTATATTAGCGGTATGTTCGCCTTATATTGAAGAATAGCTGATTTGCGGACATGATGGTTGGGAGTATTGGTCAGATGCATGCTGATGAATTTGAACAGTTCATCATAACATCCCGACTTTGGAATGTCCTTTGCAACGTGGAACAACAAGAGATTAATCCTCATTTTTTTTAAAGTTCAGAGAGTATACTGAAATAATTCTTGCAGCCCTCACGCTTCAATCCAGATCATTCTTAGAAAACAAACATTCGCAACGAAACCATCGAAAAACTTGAACGTTTAAGTAAACAAATTAAACTGTCAAAACAGTCAGGCCTCCCAAGGTTTTATTGTACTCTTGTAGACCATATGTTATATATACTACTTATGTATACTACTTTAGAACCCTGATACGAAACTTGTTGTTGCTTGGGCTATATCTTCGTCATTAGTGAGGATGAGGAGACTCTCTCTTTGATTTGTATGGCGATTGAGTCACCACAACCCACAAAGTGTGTCGCGAGTCCCCACAACTTCCTTGGAATTCTGCCCAGAATCATCTTGAAACTCACCTTTATATTCTACTGAAAATCCACATAGAATAGCTAATTACTCTCTGTTTGATCGCACCATTATCGGCGCCGCGTTCTAACGCATTTGAAAGTAGAAAGCGGCAACGACAATTGACACCAGCACGTTACGCGATCAATCCGCAGTAGTAGGACAGTGTTACCAACAATCACTACGAAACTAACGATTTTAAATTGGCTCACTACTTGACTAGCCTATTGGTCCCAAGCAAACGATTAACGTACCCCATTCTAGTCGTTTTGATTCGCTATGAAAGTTTGACAGATAAAATGAGGGATTAGTGAATTTTCCTATGTTTCGAGGGGTGAATCGATTAGCTTGGGACCGAAGAGAGTACCAGAGCAGAGCCAAAAAGTTGAGCACGTTATTTCGGGACCTTCTGGTCTTAGAGTTACCTCTTACCCTTGTTTGTACAGTGCCATTTTTGCGAAATCATTTTGTGTGTGGTGGTC